CGGGCACCATTCAGATCTCCAGCCACTTTCCGGTCTCTGGCCTAGAGAAACAAAAGAATTATTGATTTTAAAAGTGGATTCATAGTCATCCACAATCTCAAGGGATTTAAAACTGCCAGTGTTGAACATAGACTTAATTTCATCATCTCTTGCTAAATCTTTAGATTATTTGCTGTAAATGCAGTTGCTCCTTGTTCTTTCCTTCCATTTTATCTTTCCCATATAATTTCTTAACATAATCATTTTCTTATTCTTCAAGAAAAGTTGGTAACAAACTTAATGTTTATTTTTTCATATCTTTGTTGTATTTGTCACATTAGTTCATAACATTTTAAGCCTAAAATATAAAAACTTAGTTCTAAATTATTCTATTTATCTGCCTCTTACTAAATATTGGTAAAACCTTCCTATTTTTCTATTGCATCATTGTAGGATAATGCTAGAACTCTCGATTGATTGATGGAATTCATTAGCAGTTCAGAGCCGTCACACATAAAATTACCTTGACAGAGTGGAAGAGCGCAGCCAGTCCAAAGCAGAAGACGTTTCCATAAACCAAGTTGAAGATAGACCAGATGATGTGGTCTTTTGGGGGGTCAGTGCTGATGGTCACAGTGGTGTATTGAACCATCACAGGTCCTCCAGGCTGTCCAGGGGGCACATCATACCTCCCCACCTGCAATGGGACAGCTTCAGCCTGTTGCCCTCCATGATCCATCTTTCTCAGCTCAGTTGTAGTTTTTGAGGTGGTGGCTATAGAAATGCATGCGAGAACTTGTGGGTGTGCAAGAAGTGTTGGTTAGTTTTGACCTATTTAATTTTAGGTGTAGCGCACACCTTTTTTTTTCTTTACATCAAAGGCCTGTGAGGTAAAAGAAAACGCTGGTGTTTGCTGTTGCTGTGGCAAAGAACATAAAGTCCAAATGCCCTAAGGACTTTACAAATTCAATTTAAAATACAGTACTTACTTATCAGAACATCCTTTAAATTCTCAACTATCATTCCTTTTGTTTTTCTTTTTTTAAAATACTTTTTAGGCTTTTTGCATTTATTTGATAGTTGTCTGTGTGAAAAGACAGGAAATGTAGAGGAAGAGCATTGTGAGGTTCAACATATGTAGCTCTCCTGTGATTATGTTAATGATTAGGGAACCACACATCCAAACTGTCAAAGTTCCAGCCAGATGGGAACTCACTTCTTTTAACAGAAAAATGCAGAAGGGCAAATCCAAAAGCCTACAAACCGGTAGTTGCAAAGCCAGCAGCTTACAAAACAAACTGCTGTACATGGTCATGTAATGCCCCTTTTTGAGTAACATAAGCATAGAATAGATAACACCCCAGTCATGTCGGAGGACACCTGTCTTCTTGCCATTTGATCAAACATAAGATCAAAATTATATAGAATACATGGTACCAACTAAACAGTGGTGGAAAATGTGGTTAGAAGGTTAGTTAAGTGTGTATAAAGTATATTTATTTATTTTCAACCTCCATTTTCCAAGCACACTTAAGTTTATGAAGGAAAATGATTGAACTTTCGTTTATTGAGAAATTAAACTGGTCTCTTCAAACAATCGCTGTGGCATAGTTGTCTCTGACAGGTAATTTGGATTTAATAATAGTCTGGCATTCAGACTTGGCAGACAGCAGTTAGAGCAACATGGATGAATTCCAAATAAGGCTTCTGTA